AGATGCGTTCCAATATAATTTATCCTGATTTAGGGTATAGGCCTATTCTATTTTGAGCTGCAGTTTAATAAACGTTAAACAGAAAAAGACAAAAAGTAGCACTGCATGTGTTTCTGAATATTTATTTAAACAATGTATAATGATGAAAAACCACAAACATGACAGGTATAATTAAAATGCGCAAATTCCTTCAGCGCACATTTCAGTGCAATATTTTTTACAGATTTTGTAAACCGTGTATACAATATAATTTTGTTTAATTAAGCTGAGATATAGCACTATAAATTCTTAATTCATTTGAAACAAAACTATAAAGTTTTGTTGCAAACAGATGAAGACATTAGACTTCTCAGCTCGCCCCTCAACATGCATGCGTTTGGAGTTTCGGCAGCCCAATACTGAATATTATATTGTGGGCGTTGTATTTTGATTAATAAAATAAAAATGATAAAAATTACAATATAAAAAGGAAATTTAAATTACCCTGCTTCTAATTAAATAAAGCAGTCATTTTTATTTCGTTAAAAACGGGCCGAAAGAGACCTCCGAACTAGTAGGCTACCAGAAAGGAAGAAAAAAAAACCTTAACGTTTTTGCTCTGAATTCATTTTTAATCCCTGCATGATTTTAGTCATGCATGATAACTATCAAATACGTTATAGCTTGACTACAAGTTTAAAAACAACACTGCAATTGTTATAATTAAGGAAATTAAACTTACCATCATGAAATGTGTCTACACAGGCGATAATGCCAAAAAGAAAGACAAACATCGGAAAATCTGCATATTTTATTCAAGACATTATTATATGACATTAACATGCATTTATCATTCTTACAATCACCGCTAGAATGTCCAACTTCACCATGATGAACTTAAAATTGGGTTCTATTATTTTTCCTCAACAGTTCTCACAAAATAAAATTAATTTCAAACACAAATTTGATAAGAACAGAGTGGAAATTATTAGCAACACCAAAATAACAGCAAAGCAAATGTTTTCTGTTAGTTTAAGCACAAACTAAGAAAAGTAAAACCAAACTTTGTGGCAATAATTAAGACCAAACTGAACATGGTGTGTGTTTAAGGTGCATGTCAGCAATGTTGTCTCGGCGGGGGTGGGGCATGATGGAGGTGGGGCTTACGTAGCCGATATTATCGGATATCGCGATATTTTTAAAGGCGATTAT